GGGGGCACTATTTTCTGGGGGAAATATTTTCTGGGGGGCTCCAAACGTTTCAAAGTTTTGGTCCAGTGGGGCCAGGCCTTAAAATATCTTTTCCAAGGCCGTCTGACAAAATGTCCGGTGACGTTGAGTTTGGGTCGGACATATGTCCGATGACTTTCAGTTCAGTTTTGACTCGGAAATAAGTCAAATCAGACACAAATGAATAAACGGTAAATGTTGTAAAGATATTAAATAATTTCTTTCATACTTATTTCCAAGCCAAAATTAACTCACTTTCACGAATGGGTCGGACAATGTCCGTGACCGACCGATATTTTAAGGCCTGGTGGGGGCCTAGAGTGTTCACCCCAATGAACTGTTGACTCCCACCATAGTAACATAGTTAATAGAATAGATGGTTTGGAACTCATTATAATTAACAATTTTCGCCGAAGGCGAGGTGATTAGTCAGTGAATAAAATCCGAGACTAAGTCGAGGTTTTTATTCACGATAATCACCGAGCCCGAGGTGAATAATTGTTTTAGTATAATTTCATGGGTGATTATTTGGAAAAAATTTAAAAATGCACATTTCTTCGCCTTTTAATTGACGAAACGGCTTCGGCCGCCATTTTGAAAATCGCTTAGGTGATTATCGCGTAATAATTACCTCAACGGTAACCAATCAGCGTGGAGAATTTTCAATAATCACCTATGTAATTATACTAATAACAATATAACTCATTACCTATGTTAGTGAACAATAACATTCATAAATCTAGTCTTTTACCGTCACGTGCGTATTGTATTTTTGCCCGACTAACCAATAGCAATGTTTTAGGAAAGTTACCTATCCATGACTCAAACAATAGGGTAAATTACTAAATTGAAAATATTGCTATTGGTGGACATGCAAAAATATAATACACATGTGACGGTGAAGGAATATATTTATGAATAAACGTTGACTAACATCGATAATGAGTTATAGTACTGCTATTCTAACGATTTCTAAACCATCTATTCTATATTAACTGGCGGCATGGGGTAGCTCCACATGGAATACGTAAAAGATCGAAGGCTGCAACACACGCCTGCCAAAAATGCATGCAAAAGCACCAATATGCTTCAACTTCTGAAATTTTCATTCTGTTTCTACCAAATTTGCCATGAGTATAGAACATATCATTCTTACAAATCGTATATTTTTTGTTTTTGGAATTGCTACTTAAATTACGTCACAAACTTGGCGCCAAACAAATAAAAATAAGCTATTGGTGATTTTACAAAATCCATTTAGTAAAGCAGACTAAGGGTACTTTAATTAAAACTGAAATCTGTTTCTAAATACAACCATTTTATGGGAAGATATAGCGATACAAATGTCGAAAAATCTGCCATATTGTTACTAAAAATAGAACAAAATGGCGGATTTTTAGAACTTTAAGTCATTTTATCTTCGCAAGGAATGGTTGTCAGGGTCGTAGCGACCGGGGTGTGTGGGAGAGGGGTATAAAACTCCCCCTACTATGAAATTCAGGCAAAAATCATGTAAAACCAAGTTAAAATTTTGACATTTTCAAGTAAAATTTGCGTAATACAGTAATTATTTTTGTGAAATGATAACCATTTTTGTAAAATACAGACAATTTACATGCAATTTGTTTGCAAATTTACTCTAGAAAACGCCAGAAATTCAGTCCTAGAGCTTCAAAAATGTAAACATTTTCTGGGGGAGGACCCACAGACCCCCCTATGAGACTGCCAATCAATCACAAAAAGCTTTATTATAATTATTAGACTTCAGGAAATTTTTAACATTGAAAATCAAATTTCACGTAAAATCCTCCGACATCCCCTCCCCAAACGTCAGATGCTTCGCTACGTCCCTGATGGTTGTATATCGAAACCGATTTCAGTTTTAAGACATCATTAGTCTGCTCTTCTAAATGGATACATGAAATCACCTATGGCTTGTTTTAAATTTTTTGGCGCCAGGCTTGTGAAGTAATTTACCCGCCAAAAAGTAGCATATCCAAAAACAAGAAAAGCATATGATTTGTAAGAATGATATGTTCTATGCTCATGGGATATTTAGTTCAAACGGGATGAAAATTAAAGAAATTGAAGCATACTGGGTTTTTTGCATGCATTTTTGACAAGCATGCAAAGAAATTTGCAACAGATACCAGGAGATAAGTTGGGTGGGGGCGAGAACATTAAGGTTCCAGAACATTAATCTGATCCAGCAAATCCCGGCCACTACCTGAACGTGTTCAAAACTCCGACTACGTTGAATGACGGACAACAACAACCTGTCGATAATTTTGCCGCTAGAGCCAATCTAAAATGTTTTTTAAAGACGGTGCCATTTCATCTGGCAATAGTGAGGTGAAAGAAGCAGCAAGTTGGTATTTATGTTGAGGAGAAACGCTTGCTTAAGTATATCAGACATCTTGAGAACTTCAAATTGTATCTATGACAAGTGAGAATTCCGGATTGTACTCCTTCGATTCCAATTTTTGTTATGGGGGGGGGGGGCATTAAAAATTTTAGAAACTTGGAGGGGGGGCATCGAAAATTTACCAATACCCTCAACAGGGGTCCTGTAAAATTATGAGCTTTTTTCAAGACATCTTCCCCCCCCCCCCTCTCGGCGTAATAAATGTACTTTCCCTTAAAAAAACAATAACTTTCATCATTTGAATAGCTTGAAAATGTATTTGGAATAGGTTTAACTTAATGTTTAATTAAGTTCCCTGTTTAAGAAATAGAAAACATACGAGTCTAATTCTCATTTCATGGGAATATCCTGAGTCTGCAATCACAGCTTCAATTTTTGAATTGCAGAATAATTAGATGCGCTATCTATCTATGGATCACACATGTATGCCTGGGCACACACACACCTCAGCTAAACCTTGTTACCTCAGCTTAGGGAAAAGTGTGATTTATCTCAAGCCTCTATATTTATTTACTATTTAATATTGACACAAAAATCAAGAAGTATCCCCAACCATGCAGAAAGCTAGGTAGAAACTACCTTCCCAGATCAGTTTCCAGCATCCTCATCTAAGTGGTACTTAGCTATTACAAAACCTAATTCCCTCTTTTATGAAAGCCAAACACATGATCAGTCCGTTTATAAAACGAGTCAACCTTTTATACATAAGACAGTTCGCACTTTAAAGACCTTAATTCGTATTACTTGTATATGTGACTGAATATTGCGCTGTAGGAAGTTGTTTTATTAACAAATAGAGTATGTGTCAGTTTCATATCGTAATGCTTATCAATTTCATGTCAAATAAGATAAAGTCTAAATAAAATTGAATATGAAAATTCGTCTCTTACCCTTTGTATAAAATCCATATTCAATTAGTATCGTCTTTTCCCACATTTCTTGAGGTTATAAAATTTGTTTGTCATCTTTCACAGGCGACGAGGCGAGAATAACACGTACGACTTGCATATCTTTGTCCAAATGGTCAAAGGTAGAGAATTTATCTCGAAAACATTTTCAAAAAGGATTCAAAACAACGAGAACTATATTATCTGCAAAACTGTTTTGCAAAAACCAGGGGGGTGAAAACGGCCGTGGGCTCAGAAATATTAAGCCTGGTCAGTGGTAACTACCATGAGAATAAAGTGTTGTCTTGGAAATGGGCGTCATTTTCACTCAAAATCCACCATGTTTTTGGCAACACTTTGTTGACTGAACGAAGTATTAGGAGCACGTCCTCCAGTTATTTACAGCTCAGTGGTAAAGACTTAAAAGTTCGAGCTCGGTAAATATGGTAAATACTTGAAGATATTCACCACATATAAACAAACTATCAAATTACTTCGTAATTCTTAAGCAGCAAAGCTAAGTAATTAATACTGCAGTATATACATATACCATCGTTGTTTTCTATGTGAAATTTTTCAATGTGCATAAAATTTGAACAGGAATTAGGGACCGGTCATTATTTATGGCTGGGGGGGTGGCACTGAGGAGAAACATTTTCTTGGCCAAATTTTTTAGTAACCAAACCTTCAAAAAAAACTTTTTCTCCACCCAACCCCAGCACTCATTCAAAAAAACTAGACCCACCCTAACTTAATTTTGTCAATTTACTTATTTAAAAGCTAAATTGACTTATTTGAGTTTTTGAGAGAACAAAAAAGCTAACAAGTATGAACTCTGTCACTTTATCATGACTGTTATGGCAGGTTCAAATGGAATACTTTGCAAACATATAATAAAAATATTTTAGTATTTTCCGACTTAATGATTTTTACTTTACCCACCCATTTCCACCCATAAAATTTTGTTTACCCACCCATTTTCTCTTCAGGGTAGCCATTAATAATGATTGGTCCCTTATCTGTGATCATGATTCATTGTTAATAAATACTATTTACTAGAAAATAGAAGATCTCCGATTTAAACCTAATTTTTCAACAATTCCTATATGTTAAAAGACAAAGAAAGTCCGATTAGAAAAATAATATAGAGTTGGTTTTTTTCGAAATAAAACAAATTATGATAAAACAAATTATGCAGATTAATGTTTTCCAAAACATCGATTGAGTTGCATATTATCAATTTTGCACTCATAATTTTACTTGTCAAGGGGTCAGAAAGTGCTGGTGATCAAAGGTTTCATGTGCAGTACTCTCTTCTTGACATGTAAAATTTGCTGGCTTTAGACAGAGGAAAATAATGAAGCATACCGGGAGGGGGGTAGCTGCCCCTCCCGCTCTCCAACATTGTTGGGCAGAAAAATTTTTTTGACAAGTCATGGGGACAATACTATCAAGACTCCATGATATAAATATGTTACAAAAGTGACCTTTAATGTAAAATAGGATATATTAGCGAGAAAAGAACTGCCAAATTTGTGCAGGTGGTTTGGTCAGAAATTCAGGTTGACACTTTGCCCACCACAGGAAATCATGTCCATAACAATACTTGTATATTGATCGAGTAGGTCTAAACGCCTGCTATATCTTTTGTCAGTTTTGATACTGTAAGTGTATTATTAAAGACTACTGGCTGCAACAGTGTTACATATAGCAAGGGACTATACTAGTAACTACAAGTAACAAGTCTACTACTTGAAGCTCGTTGAAGGAATACACCGGCCAAGTATAAACAAGCCCTTCGGCTTCGACATTCCGAAGCTAAGTAATTAAGCTTCGCAACCGAAATAAAGGCTTGTTTTTTCGTATAGGTTAAAAGCTTCGACGGGCGTCTTTCATCCTAGGCATCCTAGTGTAGCGAAAATCTTGTGATTTTATCAGGAATCATACATGATCGATGGCAGCACTACGATGCACCTAGTACATGTAGTCCATATTATATATTAAAGCCAATCTCGCTCAGTCGCATATGCAGAAATATTTTAGGAAATTGGCGTCTTGCTTGTACTTACCTCCACTGCCAACACTTGAGCAAGACTCTGTGCCTGTGGCCATATTGACTACACAATATATCCCTTCACATTGAAGAGCACTCACTCCAAAGCAAGGGCTGAAATACTAAGATTTAATCAAAGCCCAACTTCGCTATATATATAACACCTTGCTGTTGGCTTCGCAATGTCGAAGTGAAAGTGAAAGCGCTTACGAAGCGATTATAGTAATTACGGTAATTTTACCAAGACACGTGACATTCGGTAACTTGACTACTGAATTTGACCAACATTCACTTTCTCGTTAAAGGCTGATTTCCACTGTTGCGTTTTTCGTACGCACGTACACGCACGTAAAACTTTGAATCCTTCTATTTTTTAAATATTTTACAAATAAGTTAACAAATGCATACTAAAACTTGCGGAACCACAAGAGGCCCAGGCTCGATTTGCCCGCGCCCGCCTGTGCCTTCCTTATAACGAGGGAAGGACGGAGACATTGAGACCAAAATAGCCCAGACTTGGCATATGTCACACGAAACTATCCTCGATTTTTCGCTTTTAATGCATTTCTTTCACGATTAATCGATATCCCCCGCAAGAATGATACCGTATAACTCTCAAAACAACGATGCTTTAATCAAAGAGCTTAAATTCGCTCTGAAATCCGTGAGGGAATAACAAAATTCGGCCAAAATATATCCGCGTGCCCGGTTTGCTGTGCAAAAAGCGGAAGTCGTTGAACAACTCAAAACACTCAACCCTGATTGGACAACGAATTTCAACAAACATTTCAAATTTTTTTAACAGTAC